AAGACTTGGTTTCCGATTCAGGTTTTGCTTCTGAGCCCTGCCTGCAAGAGGGATTTAGGAAGCCTAGGAGGTCCAAGTCAAGGTTTAGGATAAAAAAAATCATTCCTATAATCAAATGTGATATGTCAGAAGAGGCTAGAGAATCTCTATTGATTTTCAAGGTTTAATTACACAAAGCCATATCTGACCTAACGGTGCTAGATTTGAGGTAGTGCTCCTCCAAGCGCTGCTTCCAACCAACTCTGTGATTCATTGATTTCAGCAACAGAAGTGGTTCTTGATCAAATGCATCTCTAAAGAACTGCAGGCATGCTTTAAAGACTTGATATTATACAACAGCTGACACTGATTTTCATGCAGATGCAATTTACAGTGGAAATTGTTCTACAAAATCTTTCTTTAAAAACCCAACCCCAGGCTTTTAACATGCAGTTTAGTTGATTAGGTTCAAGTAAGTATAATATTATGGTTTACCATAGAGTTAGACGAAACACTATAAATAAATGTTTATATTATTCTGGGTTTGTTTTGGTTTTAGTATTCTACTCAAATACTTAAGTTGCATGAGATTTTTGTACTGTTGGCTAATGCATCTGATTACAAACCCAAGTATACAATACACATATGGCTGAAGACACCAATGACATCTGATTAGATTATTTTATGACTGTAGAAAATAACAAGACATTTCAAAGCCAGTTAAAAAGCATTGTTGTAATATGGTCCTGATATCATTACAGGCTTTAAAAAAATACATCAAATTCAACAATACTTTAACAAAGAGAGAAGAAAAAAAGAAAAAGGGAAACTCATCATAGTGGAACTAACAGAGCTCTGTTTTGAAACATGTTTGCTTCCAGTCTCTTATAGAATACAGGTTCAGGAAATTATTTTATGACCTAATTTCCCCCAACAGTGTTTGTTCTGAGGCTGACCAGTAAGGAGCTCTGCCGTGTCCCTTGCTTTCCTGATTGCAGCCCTGGTGTTCTGCAACTAATGAGGCCCAGATGGGGCCACAAACAAACAAAATTAAGTGGGTGGGAAGGGACTGATTTATAGTCCTACTCATTCTCCTCCCCCTCCAAAATAAACAAAACTAAGAAATAATAAATCCCCCTAGGCTACTAGAAAAATTGCTAGCCCATATGACATGTACACTCTTAGAGGTCTCCAAATGGAGCAAGACAGTGAGACTATCAGATGCATTCCTTTCAACATAGCATACTAATCTGTAGCTACCATATCTGCTGTATCTTTTTTGGAGGCAGTTTACCTTGGAGGAGCATGTGGCCTACGTGTGATATTTCAAACAAATAGTATGCATTTTCAGTCCTGCTTGTGTTAGAAGTTGTTTTATTTCAGTCCTACATGTATGGTAGGGTTTAGGATCTCCAAGGACTATTGTGTCTGAAAAATCTAGCATAGCAGAAGACTAGCCTGTTTGTGTGTGCCTGCTTGCTCATAAAAATTGTCTACACAAATATTTGATTATAGGTACATGCTGACTTACCAGATAATGCATAAGATAAAGTATGCTTCCTTTAAAATAAAACCATTTTAGAGGTAAATATAAATCATTCGTGCATGAAGCTCCTTTCATATGATTCTTGGCCCTTCCACCATTGCTTTCTTTCTATGCACATACCCCCAATAAAAGATTTTGTCACTGGTGAGTAAGACTTGCATAACTCAATTTTTATATGGTTTGCCCTTTCAGCTGGCCTGCTTTATGTTTGTTGTAATCATCATTTTGGAAGAGGGAAAGACTGCTGACGTAGTCTACCTAGACTTCAGCAATGCCTTTGACACAGTCTCCCACAGTATTCTGGAGAAGCTGGCAGCCCGTGGCTGAATAAGTACACTCTTTGCTGGGTTAAAAATGGGCTGGATGGCTGGGCCCAGAGAGTAGTGATGAATGGAGTTGAATCCAGCTGGCAACCGGTCATGAGTGGTGTTCCCCAGGGACTGATCACAGAATCACAGAATTTCTAGGTTGGAAGAGACCTCAAGATCATCGAGTCCAACCTCTGACCTAACACTAACAGTCCCCACTAAACCATATCCCTAAACTCTACATCTAAACATCTTTTAAAGACTTCCAGGGATGGTGACTCCACCACTTCCCTGGGCAGCCTGTTCCAATGTCTAACAACCCTTTCAGTAAAGAAGTTCTTCCTAACATCTAACCTAAAACTCCCCTGGCGCAACTTAAGCCCATTCCCCCTCGTCCTGTCACCAGGCACGTGGGAGAACAGGCCATCCCCCACCTCGCTACAGCCTCCTTTGAGGTATCTGTAGAGAGCAATAAGGTCGCCCCTGAGCCTCCTCTTCTCCAGGCTGAACAAGCCCAGCTCCTTCAGCCGCTCCTCGTAGGACTTGTTCTCCAGGCCTCTCACCAGCTTCGTCGCCCTTCTCTGGACCTGCTCAAGCACCTCGATGTCCTTCTTGTAGCGAGGGGCCCAAAACTGAACACAGTACTCGAGGTGCGGCCTCACCAGAGCCGAGTACAGAGGGACGATCACCTCCCTAGCCCTGCTGGTCACACTGTTTCTTATGCAAGCCAGGATGCTGTTGGCCTTCTTGGCCACCTAAGCACACTGCTGGCTCAAAATTGGTACATATAAGCTACATGATTTTGGGGCTCATCCTCTTTAATATCTTTATTAATGATTTGGATGAGTGAATTGAGTGTATCCTTAATAAGTTTGCAGATGACACCAAGCTGGGGGGAAGTGTCGATCTGCCAGAGGATAGGAAGGCCCAGCAGAGGGACCTGGACAGGATGGGTCAGTGGGCAGAGACCAATGGGATGAGGTCCAACATGGCTAAGTGCTGAGTCCTACACGTTGATCACAACAACCCCATGAAACACTACAGGCTTCAGGCAGAGTGGCTGGAAAGCTGTGCAGAGAAAAGGGATCTGAGGGTGTTGGTTGATGCTCAGCTGAACATGAGTCAGCAGCATGCCCAGGTTGCCAAGAAGGCCAATGGCATTCTGGCTTCTATCAGGAGTAGTGTAGCCAGCAGGACAAGGGAGGTAATTGTCCCCCTGTACTCAGCTTTGGTGAGGCCATACCTCAACTACTGTGTTCAGTTTTGGGCCCCTCAGTACAAGAAAGACATTGAGGCCCTGGAGTGTGTCCAGAGAAGGGATGTAGAAGCGCCTAGACTACAAGTCCTATGAGGAGCAGCTGAGGGTACTGGGGTTTTTTAGTCTGGAGAAGAGGAGGCTCAGAGCAGACCTTATTGCTCTCTCCAACGACCTGAAAGGAAGGTGTGGGAAGCTGGGGGTAGGGCTCTTCTCACAGCTAGCTGGTGATAAGACTAGAGGGAATGGCCTCAAGTTGCTCCAGGGGAGGTTTAGGTTGGAAATTAGGAGATATTTCTTCTCAGATAGAGCAGTCAGGCATTGGAACAGGTTGCCAAGGGAGGTGGTAGAGTCACTGTCCCAGGGGGTATTTAAGGAAAGGTTGGATGTGGTGCTTAGGGACATGGTTTAGAGAGTGACATTGGTAGTAGGGAATGGTTGGAGCAGATAATCTTGAAGGTCTTTTCCAACCTTAATAATTCAATGATTCTATGAAAGTCTAGCAGTGATCTAAGAGCAGTATCATGGAGATAAAATGGTTTTATCAGGTAACAACATAGCATGTTTGCTTTACAACCCCTCCATCTACAAATTAGGGTATAGGATTAAATGACATTTTAAAATTTGAGATGAGTAAAGAAGGATAATGAGCTGTCTTGGTAAGAACTATGTTGTCATACCTCTTAACACCCCTTAGTTAATCATAATAAAAACTGATCATTAATATTTCTAAATTTTCAAAAAGTGGTTATAATTTTGAAATCAAAGGCACACTTTGAATATTATAATATTGTCAAAATTGGGACTTTGAAAATGGTGTCACTAGGTCTGTTATTTGCAATTCCAAGAATATGTGGAAAAACACCTCTGATATCATTGAAGCTGGGCATTTGGCAAGGTGACTTTGATTTCAACAAAATAATGCCATGCAGCTCTTAGGCAGTGATGGCTCTGAACCTCAAGCTCCAGACAAATTGTCTACTAATAGTTTGCAGAAGATGCTGACATGTTAGGGAAGTAAGAAATGCTCACAAGTGCACACTGGAGTATCAGCTTCAATGTATTAACAACATCTAACAATACTTCATGTGTACTGTAATCTTACATCTCATGTACTTCTGTATACCATACTCATATTGTTTTATTTGTATTCTCATCCTATCCATGAGTCTTCACAACAAGCAACAAGAAACAGCCATGGCTTTACGTGCTTTCTCTTCTCTTAGGAAAATAAGCTCCCTGGTTAGAAAATGCAAGACTGGAGGACCGTGGTCCCCTGTAATCCAGGAATTCTGCCTCTGAAAATTCCAAGAATGAAAAAGAGGAAAAAGTCCATCTCAAGCTTAATGAATAATATAATGATTTTGCATTTTTTTAATAATTAACTTCTGGTTGATGTATTATTTAGTAGTGTTCTAAGAACAAATAAGCATACGTAAGCATAGTCCAAGGATGTTCATATTGCCCTGCTGTGGAACAGCATGAATGGTAACAAAAGACCAATTCCAGTATGGAAAAATAGGAAAATAAGACCTAATTTCTTCAAGGAACTATTCAGTTCCCACAAATCACTCAATTTAGGATAGTTTTTTACTTTGTTATATGCCTGAAACAGTAGATATTATTTTGTAACTTATCGGTGCATAATTATCATGAAGTTAGACTATAAAATCTTGGGGTTTGTATTTCCTTACTTAGAGAAGGTAGAGATGCCTTTAGAACAAAGAAAAAGACCCTCTGAATATAAGCCCTGCACCACTGTTTCCTTACCAAGGTGCTACTAACCCCACTGGGCTGAGGCTGCCAATGTGAAAAGCATGGCCAGGTGACTGCTCCAGAGTCTGAGGCATAATGGGGGGGGGGGGGGGGGGGGGGGAGGGGGAGGAGGAAGAGAAAGCGGAAGCATATGAGGATGGGTGGGAGGAGAAAACCTCAGCAGTGAAACCCAACTAATGCTGGAAAGTGCTGTGTACACTTCCCAGGGTATACATTCAGAGTATATATTCATTCAGAGGCTATGGAATAAATCAGCTAAAATGTCATTGTACCACATTGCATTTTTACCAATCTCTATTCCAAGATATATCATGAAACAGAACATCACAGCTGCCCTCCAAATTTAAATTGTCACAGAGGCATTTTTCTTTTCCTTTTCTTTCTCTCTCTCTTTCTTTTTTTTTTTTTTTTGTTCAGCATCAAACCACCAAACAAAGGATGACAAATTGTCTTCACTGCAGGAACACCAGGGCTTTTAATCACATGGCCCATGCTGTTGGGAGATATTTAACAATCTTTAATCTACATTGACTACTTTGTAAATGAAGCTAGCCACAGGGTCTGATGGCTTCTCTTTGTCCTTCTACATGGAAGGCCAGCAACAATCAGTGTAACATTTCATTTTGCCTTGAGCTGGTTTTGTTTGTGGCATAAATATGAAACAGTATCATTAAGGATGAGTGACCTAGTATGACACTGCTCACCAAAACATTTTCACACTCTGCAGGCTATAAATCTATTGATGTTCCTGTGTTTTGTGAATGAGTGCTGTGAAAGTGAAGAATATCCACATAATTTTATTTGACACGTAAACTGCACTGTGTGTTCCAAATCTGTCATCACTGCACTGAAATCTATCTTTGACATTAATTTGTACAAACAGCAAGTCACTTGAGGAGGAAAATACTTTTTTTGTCTGGAAAACAGTGCAGCTTGGTTTGGTAGGAGACAAATCTGTCAAGGGCACTTTGCCAGTCACTAAGCCATGGCTGTCATCTAGATCTCTTTCTCATGTAAATAGAACTCTCTTCATAACATTTTTTTTTTCCTGGAAGTGCTTTGTTTACATACAAAAGAATGAAAACAGTGATCACATTAATTTAAATTGGAGAAAAAAATGCTAAAGAAGATTGACGAGGTGGAGGGTTGGCTTTCTGAAAAATTCTGAAACTTCAGACCAACTTCTTAATAGCATAAAACTTAGCATTAAAAAAAAGAATAATAATAATAAAATCATAAAACTTAACAAATGTATTGTCTTTTTTATAGGGTTTTGAAGCACAAATGCATTGCTGTATTCATAGTATTCAGAAATCAGTAAACAGTTAAAGACAAAGCCAGAAAAAAACAGATAGCTTTTATACCTTTTTTGAATGTAAGACTATAAACTAAGACCACGCCATGATCTGTTTCCTTATAAATGGACTGTAGTGAAAATTAATGTTTTACACAAAATATAAAAGAGAAAACACTGTACGTTTAGTATTTTTTGAGATGTTGCATAACTCCTGGATTCTAAACATTCTCCACTCTTTCTGATTTCAAAACCTTGCAGTATTCGGCCCAATGTATTTTAAAATAGGTCCTAAAGTATCTGATAATCTCACCTCCTTCACTGAAATCCTGATGAAAACCCAAGACACTTATAAGCCAACTTAATGCCATGGATAGCAAGATCTGAAAGTGTTGTAAGATTTTTCTTCCAAAATGGAAAGAAACATCTTTTCTTTTACCCACGCCACGCTTTTGAATGTCTGTTCTCAAAGCCTTGAGCATGAAAATAGTTGGAGAATCTTAAATCCATATTTCCAATATTTGTAACTGTCCCCCAGACAATCAAAGTGAATTCATATGATGAGCACCCTAGTACTGGCTCAGCCCTAAAGATTATTTACTGTAATTATCCTCCTCTCTCAACACACACACGCACATTTTAGACTCCAGAATATCAAAACTTTGTTCCAAATACATTTCTCCTGCAACTGTTAGGGACCTCAAAACTCCAGAGTTTCTTGCAAAGACCAGCATAGGACTCAGAAATAGAATAAGAAAACTTCTGAGAGTATTTACAGACAAGCTCTTCCCACCCCCAGATTTCTAACCATTAAAAAAAATAAATTAATCTCAACAAATTTCCATCTGGTTTCCACAGGGCAGTCTTATGCTGGAATTGAACAGAGACACATTATTTTGAGCAGCAGCATTTAGAGACCAAGCAGAAAATCAGATCACTACAAATAAAAACAGTTTAAGCTCTATCATTTCTCCTTCTTGTTTGCCAAATGGAGCTCACTTTCTGATACTTTTCAAGAGAAGTTTCAACTTCAGCCAGTAGCTGAAGTTGTTTCTCAATGCAGTCTGCAGCCCGAACAGTTCCTTCATTTTTTTTTTTTTTTTCACTTACACTTTTCTTTATTTCTCCTGTTATGAGGAATGTCCTGTAAATTATACTAAATAAAATCCATGCCATGGAGCACTTTTCTGTTCATTGGTGAGCTGACTGGTAGCATGCTGACAAAGAAGCAGAAGGTTCAAAGCTAGAGGTGCAACAACCCATACCACAAAGCTGGAGGTGCAACAACCCACACCACTTCTCTCCAGAAGTATCTTGACAGATTAATTGCAGTAATGTAAAAGGGGTAGGATGAAATGGTCAGAAATAAATGTTATTATTATTTATACTTATCAGATAATTATTGTTATCAGACAATCTTCTCTGTCCTGAATGTTAACATTGTTCTGTGAATAATTCCAATTAGAAGGATAGATGTTTGCATATAATGTAAACTCATTTTAAAATAACAAACACTAAATTCAAACTCAGTATAATCAAAGAACTTAAAAAAATATATAAATCAATCAACCATTGCACTTCTTCCCAGGGAATGAAACAAATCTTTCAAAAATATTCAGATCAGGAAAGACTCTTGCCTCCATTTCACCATGTTTTTCTCCCTTCACTCTCATATTAGTTACCTACTCACTGATCAAGGTTTATTTTCCCAATAATTCAGGGTACAGAAGGGATAAATTCAAAATTTTGTTCTTATCAAATTGATTTATTGGGAACTGATGTCTCTACAATTGACTTCACTTCTGTGACTCAAAAAAACTAACAGTGTAGTAATTGAGAATTCTGTATAAGTTGTCTGGTCAAATCAATCCTGTTTCACTAAATTTTGCAATTTTGTGTGAGATGATGTAACCTTGTATTATCTTGGGTCATTCATGCACTTTTATTTTCATTTGTAAAATGCCAGAACTGGAAAAAAATATTTAATTTAGATACAATGAGTTCCCCGTGCAACAGGCTTTGTAATTTGGTTCTGAGAAAAAGATTTATAAAGAAGTTTGTTAGTTTGCATCATATAAACCAATGTGGTTTTGTTTGTTTGTTTGTTTTTTCCACTTTATGTTGAATAGTACTTGGGTTGTCTAAATTTCCTTGGAGTAAGATGATCACTTACATCCCAGAACTGCTAAATAAGATTCTTGGTATACCTTTTAAGCTGATTTGCTGCTTCTGCTCTGGAAAATATTACTTGAAAAATATGATCTCTAGACAGTTTGGAAATACAAGAATATTATAAAAGAGCAGGTCATCTCTGTGTGTTGAGTATGTGCGAGAGTTTAACTATGCTCTGAAGCTTTGCCTCTGCTAACTGCAAGCAGCTGACTCTTCAGCAGCTCTTCTTTGAAATGACTCTTTAGTACTGAAGCACCAAGTTAGGAGTTGTTAATCATGATCAAAATAGAAACAGCAAAAAATTCAGTACTGAATTCACAAAGGAGAAAAGTGGAGAACCTCCAAGGTGGTGGGGAAAAAAAACGGGAGGGGAGGGGAGGAGAGGGAAGGGGTGGGGAGAGGAGGGGAGGAGTTCAGTCACAAAGCATCAGGTGAATTCCCATTAGATTTGTGTCCTGTGCTTTTGTTTTATTTATTTATTTTTAAAAATAATTTCAGTATAAATTCTGTTGGAAGTGCCTTAACACAGCTAGGATATTGTCAAGTTTTCCAATGTATCTGTTTTCAGAAGTCTAAACTAGAACTTCGAGGGGAGAAAAGCTTTCTGGGGCATGAAGGGATAAAATTTGACTTACAAAATCTTCATCCTAGGAGAGCCTATTTTTTCTATTTTTTAAAAATAGAGGCAAAAAAAAAAAATAGTTCAAAGACTAGGTGTACAGTCAATTTATTATTCTACTGTCTCAACAACTCCTGTCAAGCAGAAGCAATAGATTCTGGTATGATCGATAGTGAAGGTTATTTGGCATATAAAGTTTTTAATGTATTTGGGGCTCATTTTTTTGAGGTAATGGAATTTGGGTTTTCCAGAGAGCTGGACTGGGATCTGATCCAAGACATTCATATTCATTAGCCATGATTTCGTATCCCAAGGTAACTCTTTGGAAGAAAACAAATACATCTGGATTTCACATAGATTGTAATGCAAAGCTGCAAAAGGAAATGCGAAAGTAACTGTTTCATTGCCAAATAGACCCAAAGACTAACCAAAGTCAGAAAAAGTATAATGCAACTTGTGGAATTTAAGTAGCAACCAGATTGTCCGCAATACATTACAGTGATGAGCTTATTATTCTTTAAAGCAATGTTACAGGTCATAAGATAAGTAGAACCATGTTGCCTTTTCTAGACACAGAAGTTGTGTATTTTTCCTTTAACAAATAACTGGAGATGCTATCCTTTTTTTTTTTTTTTTTTTTTTTTTCCCCACAGAACTGTAGAGGAAACAAATGTAGTGAAATTGTTTATTTCTTATCCAAAATTGCTCTGTCCAATGTTGAAAATCAAAGTTGGCAAACAACAAACCAGTTAGTAGCATCTCTGTGTGAAAAGGCCATGAAGCATGGAGCCATCTATGAAATACAGTCTTTTCAATGAATGATTCATAATAATCCAAATCTATAAAGTTTTCTGAGTAGACCTCAGAAGAAAAGTAAATGTGGATATTTCTCTTTAGAGCCATTTGTAAATGTGTGGCCTCTGAAGTCTGTCTCCAAGGGATACAGTTTGAAGTAATATTATTTTAAATTAGCAGTGGTAATATGGGCTTTTAATTCCTAGGAAGAAAAAAAAATCACTTTCTTTCACTGTATAGTATTTATTGGCATTCAGTTCTGGTAGTTGAAGTCTTCAGTCTCCTTGGAACAGGGATAAAATGTCCCATTTTTAATTTGGCGGATCTATAGCCAACATAGAGTCCAGCAATAACAGCTGCGGTGCAGGTGTGATAGGCGAAGAGCCTGCCCGGACAAAACTGTCTCGCTGCCACCTGGGTCTTACAGGAGCAGCTTTGGACTAAGCCTGACAGGGGATGCCTTTCAAGGACCCAGCAAAACTAGCACCCAGGCTCCTTGGGCTTGGCAGGAAATGTGCTGTGGCCCCTAGGCATTTGCACACGTGTCAATGTGTGAGATCCACAAGGTCTACCAGCACACATGCTCTCATATTTTGGATCTTTTACCTCCAAATAGGCAATATAACTTAATTCCGCAGCTTTGCCTGGCCTCAGTTCTATTGTACAAGTGCACAGGTGAAGAACAGCATACTCTAGAAAACACAAGGTTAAGCTCTCATTAGTAAGTTGGAAATAACTTAGAAAAAGAGCATAAATTCTCTTAAAAACAGCTAGATTTTATTTACAAATTCCCTATTTTGGTTTTTCACTTAGGATGTCTAAGATATGTCTCAGCTGTTAGATCTGTAGAAACAGCTCGTAGGGCAACACCCCGTTTGTGCTCAGTAGAACTAAAACTTCATTTTCCAGATTGAACATTATCTTTGGAAGCCAGAGACTTTGTGCCACTTCTTCACACTGCAACTTGCACAATCATTTTTCTGATCCACTCTCTCCCCCTTCTTCACTATAATACAGTATCTGTGATTGTGACTGATGCCACCTCTGCAGCAGTTCCCACATCAAGTGATTATCAGCATCAGAGACCAGCTATGACTGCCACAGGTTGTTTTGTTTGTTGTCTCATTGTACATGGATACCAGTGAGCATGGGCATTCTTCTTTCCCATCTATTATTCCATTTGCATTAATCTGCATTATATTAATAGACAGGAGACATAAATATTTATCATGGTGTTATTAACAATGAGTATTATTATAATGTAAATATAGAAAGCATCACTACCTGTATCCCCAGTTCTTAGTAACATGAAAGAATTTTCTGTTGCTTCTTTGTAGCATCCAATCTACATTTACCATACTGGTTTCCGTAAAAAAAAAATATAAATAAATAAATAAATAAAATTATTTTTCATGGCTTCATCTTCTACACAGTTTTCAAAGTAAATTCTTAATGCTGACAGAACTTCCCCAGTGCACTAATGAAATATATGAAGGGGTCAACTTGTATATCTTGTGCTCCTTTATTTTAGTGCTGTTTACCCAAGTTATAGGTACTTAATTGATCATCATAGGTACAGCATTCACTGGAAACCCTTACAATAAAGCAGAATGATGATTCTCCTCCCTGTCCCCGTGCTCTAATTTCACTGGCATCAGGCAGTGCTAAAGCACATAAAACAGCAGGGAAAGAGAAACGCTAAATGTATCAGTTCTCAAAATTAGAACATTCCTGTTTTGAGTATGATTTTTTTTCTCAGCCACAAGAGGTTACTAATTTGTTCCAATATTTCTATGAGCAATTGTGGCCTTCTTTAGGTATCACATTCTGCAACAGTCCCTCTGCCTGCAGGGGAGCTTCCTTGTCTTTGGGTTGAGGCTGCTTCTCACTCTTCCTGGCCAATGCACAGGCTTTCAGGGCTCATTTTTTCCCTGCAGCAGCTCTTTTCCAACAGCAACACCATCTTCCAAACAGAGAAAAGCTGACAGCAGGGAGAGAGAGAGGATTTCCTAGAAGGGAAATCCTTTAGTAATGAATGGATTGCTTCCTCCATATGCTTCCAGAACAGGGGTCCCTCATTTTACTTTGCTTTGGAGACGTGAAGAAAAGAAGTAAAATGGTGCTAAAGCTCTGTGCCTAAGAGCACAGGAAGAATTGTTAAGCTGATTTTAAATCCATGAGAATGTACATGAATCTGCAGTCAACTGTGCATTTTTAGAGGTATCAAAAAACTTTTTGTTTCAGAGGTATCAAAAAACCTTTTGTTTCTGCCCAGTTACATATATTAATAAAAACTAAAGGCATAAATCTCGCATAGATTTTAACATGTGCCCCTCAGCAAAGGAAGGTCCACAAAGACCTCCTTTAGGTGCCTCTGGAGTCAGTTGGTCTCATAGCAAAAGAGTTTCTTTCCGTTGTTTCATGCTGCAGCAACAGGACACTGCAGATAGAGAAATCCCTTTACTTTTTCATTATTTCTAATTCCTTCAATAGCACATATTCAGACATACATCAGAGAAATTAATGAGTTTTTTTTTTCTCTTTTACTTCTAGGCAGTATTCATGACTGACTATTAACTTTTTGGCTCTCTCTTTAACAGCCCTGAATACGACTTAAAATATATGATAGTCTTAATAATATATTAGCTAAATTTATTAGCTAACTTTACACATGAGAATGGAAGGAACTTGCTCGGTCCTAGAGTCTGATTCTCTACCTATGCAGGCAGAGATGTTATATAATTCTTATTTAAAATAACCCAAATTATCTAAATATATCTTTAAAGTACTTATAGGTCTCATTCTTGCACTAGGTTGGTCCTGGGGACATTGCTGTCCTTAAATCAGATATTTTTTTTTCTCAGAAAAAAATCAGATGATTTTTTTAAAATCAGAATTTATTTTTTCTCCATTTACCTTCCCAAAATATATATAAACAGGATTTGTGAATGATTCCACTGTTCAATTCATTATCTTCATTGTATGTTCTAGAATTTCAGCTATCTAGTAATGCATTCACCACCTATCACACAGAATTTTCTGCCAATTTGTAAATGGGAAGAGTAATTGTCTGTTCTGGACAGAGGAAATGTAAAGTGTTGGTCTATCATATATAGCTTTATGGAGTACAAGACATAACACTGATGAAATTTAACAAAAGTGTTTAAATTTAAAACTATAACTCTCTATATGTCTCTAAATACTCTCTAAGCTTATGGTAAATTTGAGATGTTTGATGTCTTGACTCTAAAATTTTTCACCACTGTACATATATTTTTGAAAAGCTTAATGCAAATGTCAGCTACTGGGGTAGAAATAGTAAATTACAGAAATTAAATTAGATATAAATAAATAAATAAATAAATAAAATTGCATAGGGACATTAACCAGAAATTCAAATAATTAATGTGAATGGGTTGCCTAATTACTTAAAAACAAAATTGTTTTAATTTCCCTTATATCATCAGTCTTTCTTTACAAAAACTTTTTTTTTTTTTTTTTTTTTTTTTTTTTTTTTTTTTTTAATTTATAGGTTCCAAAGCTATTTACAAATGTTGTGTATGGAGGAAACACTTTGACATCAATGCATATCCTCTTAGAGGAGGGAGAGTGTAGGAGCATTATAAAACAGTTGAAGGCTTGCAGCCAAACAACACAGCTAAAGTTTGAGGAGGAACTGGGGGAGAATTAAAGGAGTGCTGTCAAGATTACTAGGACTAACATGAATCCTCTTGCAGAAACCATCATGTTATCATAATGCACACAGAAATCGTAGTGTACTGCCCTCACTTCCCTGCACCTCAGTTTCACCAGGTAGTGAAACACCAGCCTGGGTTCTGTTTTAAAGACTACAGGAAAATTTGCATAGATTTGACTCCTATTGCCACTGTACATGTGTATCTTAATGCACTGTCATTGACATTTCCCAGTCAAGATTCAAAAAGGAAATAACACACAGCTTGTGAATAAAGCATTATATGGAAATGAAAGACACTATAAGAATAGTAAGGAAGAGTTAATATTATTCATAACTGTCACCAAAAGTTATTGGCCTACTGCCCATTAGATACTTACATCTTTTGTTACTGCTGCATATGCATGTGCAAGAGTCCTACAGCACATTTACAGTGTCATACTTAGATGTTTCACACAAGTATAATCCTCCCCAGCATTTGTTCAGAGTTGTCAGGTCCACAGTCATAAAACCAAGGACTTTGCTTTAGGAGAACAGCAGCATCTCTGTCCAAACATCTTTATTGCCACATTAGCAAAGATATTCTCCCATGTTGAAGGGGTGGCCATTTCTTTAGTCCATCATTACATCATTGGGTGCGGCACCTGAAATTCAGAAAGTATAGGTTTTGAGAAGCATATTTAATTTAGATCTGTAATTTGCAAAAGATTACCCAGAACTGCAGCTCATTTTACAAACACTGCCAGGGCCTTGCAGGGGTTGTGGTCTCCCTGGGGGCCATGGGGGCTGCCGATGGTTTCTGAGGGGGGACCTGGAGCCTGGCACTGCTGCAGCCTCACTGGTGCTGGTGGCCCCAGGGTGATGTGGGGGCCTGGGCCTGGGCAGGTGGGGAGCCCCAGGGAGGTAACAACCACAACACAGCCTTTGTACAGAACTAACAACCTCCAATCTAGTAACAGTGCTGTCTTTGAAAAAAAAAAAAAAAAAAAAAAAAAAAAAAAAAGTAGTTAATTTGCAAAAGTAGTTTCATTAGTAGTTCCAGGAATCCTGACCAGCTTGTTGGTTAAGTCCATGCCTGAAAGCATGTACACCTGCACTGGTGCAGATGAACCCAAATGCTCCCTGCCCATGCCCCAGTGGTGCTGAACTGCAGCCAGTTTTGACCCAAAGGACGTACATTTCAGTGCAGTTTGGCAGCTGGTTGAACTCCTTATGTTGAAGGAGCTCAGCACTGTCAGAGCTTAGCACCATACCCAGGAAGCCGTCTGCAGCTGAGGCGGGTGTGTAGCAGCCTTGGGAGTGTCACACCCCGCCTAAGTGCACCTGCCATAAGTTATAACCTGAGGTTGGAAAACTAAACAGTTAGCTGATGGTTAGATTCTTCTGAGCTAATATATTTAAGAGACAAGCATATTTTGCTGTGGCTTGTTGTTTTAATTAGCATTACAAAAAGCATTTCTGTAACTGACAGAAACTGACACCATTACATTGCAATTCATAACGAGCCTTTTTAGTTCCTAGCCCCAAGCCACTAAGTGAACACATCAAAAGCTGTAAATATGTTATAGCTCTGAAATCATAATGTTTGGCATCGGTGTAGAAATGCTTCACAAACTTTAAAGAATATAGGGTCTTGCTATGTGCAAGCACTACATTCCCCAGTATTGTAGTCATATAGGAACAAGTTTTTGCTTTAAATGGATACATCTACTCTTCTAAAGTGAATCCTGTGTCCATTCATGTACATGGTGCACTGGTTTGCATTGTGGAGTTAGTTGAACTGGAATGCACAAATTATTTCTTTCAGGGGAAACAAAACTTGAAGATGCATTGCAGCACCACACCTAGTGTACTGCAGCAGCTACTGGGCGTTCAGTCTCTGGGACCAGCCTGAAGTAAAACAAAAGCCCCACAGAGCACAGTGAGATTGTAGCACAAATTGCCCCACCCTGCAGATCCAGCAAATAGTGTGTGTGTTAGTCCTTGGTGCTTGATAATGTAGAGAGAGTCTATGTGACACAAAAGTCTGCTTTTTCACCAAATTTCACCCTTTAGTTTAATAGTGCAAAAGACACTTTTCGTGCATAAGCATTTTATATGATATATTTAGCATTCATATTTCCGCAAGAAGAACACAGGATAATGTAGGTTTTATGCTGTATTTCCTCTTATAAAATGGCCTTAAATCATGATATATTCTACTGCCTTGCCATCTCATATGATAGTTTCCAAGAACACAGTTCATGCTGTCTTATTTCCCAATTTTAAGTTCCTTTCTCTATTTATTTTTTCTCTCTTTCAGTATTCATGTTAGTTCTAGAATTTAAAACAAAAAACTACTAAGTGGCAAGAAAGTTGCTTTCATCAGTAATGGAGCGTGCAAAATTTGGTATATAACTTCCTGAAGAAGGTGGGATTAATGCATTCTGAGTCCTTTGGCACAGCAGACTAACTGAGCTGGGAGTTTGGGGTGACATAATACATTTTTCCATGTAAATGCAAGGAAGAAAAAACACAAAGGAATCTAGGTTTCATCCATGTTGTCGCAAAGTCTGGTAAAGGCATTAGTGAAAGGCAGTGATTAATTTAGCACTCATATAAATGAAATGTGCTGTCAAAGTCATTTTTACTCTTAGTCCAAGTATAACTTCATCAGCTGTTGGTAACATGTCACTTTCTAATTGTTGTTATTTCTCATCCATATGCTCACTAACATATTTGCTACTCTGCATTACCACAATAAGCCTTCTTTTAGTACACATGCATCGGTGTTTTCATAACACCACTAGAACATTATCCAGTGACAATGTACTTCTTTTCAGATATGATCTCATGACTAAATTATTTCTGACTTTCTGCCACGTATACCCCTAGGTCATATACGTATTTTTCTTAATGGGGAAACAAATTCTACTGTATGGATTGTGGTATGCAAAAGAAATGTTGCTCAGTTACTGTTCTGTCTCCCCTGACTCTCATTTAACTTTGCCCTTTTTTTCTTTTTCTCCTTTTCTAAATAATTATATACAACAGACAAATGAAGTACAGCCTTTCTAAACTGAGCTTACTGCACCAGCATATAGGAAGAACACAAGATGCATTGTTTTCATGATACTGTAAAACAGGAGCTCAATAAGAGACCTAATGTCATAGAACATGAAGTGGGAGCTATTCCAGGTCTAAGTTTCTTGAAAACAGAATAGGAAAAAGACAGTGCACACAAGTAAAGTTACCCTAGTAAGGCACAGAGGCCTCGTAATGTTATTCATCTCCACTAGCTTGGCTGAGAGCCCGGTTACTGATCTCCTCCTTTGTACCCATTGCCTTCCTTCAATCTTTGCAGTATACATCTACTTGCTTGTTGGGTTGCAAAGAATAGTTGAAACTGTGAAAGTCAGATGTGAAAGTCAGAGTAGCTGTTTCCCAGCTGTAGGATATCTTCCTGCATGCTTGGTTTCAGCAAGAATACTGCTAATGCAGTATAAGCACTTAAAAAAAAAAAAAAAAAAAAAAAAAAAAAGTTGTAATTTAATATATTTCCTTAACTTTACTACTAAGATCACCCCTCTGGAAGTTGAAATTTTCCTTGAAAAACATAACAAAATAGCAAGCACCTGGCAAAACATTGAATGGAACAGTGAAACTGGGGGTGGGAAAGACTTATTATTATTATTAGTTTCTCTCCAAATCATATTTCAAGACAATATTTAAATCTACCATACCACTTATATGACTTTCCAGCTATCTAGATCATTGGCAGAGATTTCCATTTTGATGTTGCTTCATAGCACCACCACTGTGACAGAAATTGGTGCTTATAAAATGGGAAGTATCAGCATGTGTAAGTGTTGCTACTTGAAATAACATGGCAAGAGGAACTGAAGGCTTGTTTAGAAACTACATAAGGACTGTTTTGCCACATTAACACCAACTGGATGTGCAAAAGCTCCAGACCTCAGAAAACTGAACTCTTTATTCAGTCAGGTGCCTAAAAAGAATCAGACATTAAAATCTGTAAGCATTTAAATTCAAGGATTGTTTGGCATGTCTATTAATAGCTCACCAGACATTTGCAGTCATGTGAAATAGCTCAGCCATGTCAGTCAGGCTATAATGGCTAAATGAAATCAGTCTAAGTTTCTGTTTGTGCATTCACATTTGCCCAAAGAATATGCTGTTTGAAACAACAGAATCAAACTCTGGTTAAAGAAGTCTGAGTTTGGACAAAAGCCAGGGAATTCTTTTATCCACAGAAAGTTAGATTCCTAAGCAAAGCCCCAAAATGTGGGTAAATGTGGATTAGTATAAGAACTGGGTTATCATAAGAAGTATGGAGTCCTTTTGCATGATGTCTTTACACCAGTACAATACATAAAGCTGTAATTGTGCTTGCATTTTTTATCTGCAGATTGTTAAGAGTCAGAAAGGTTATGTCAATTTCTCTATTTATGAATAGAAATCTAGTACTTACATGTAAAATAAATGGAGGATTTAGATTTATAACCCCTGAAAAACTTGCATTCCATAAACAGTTCTTGTTAAGAAAGCCCTAAGCCCTCAGAATTCAGGTGTTCTATTGTGCTGACTGCATCTTGTAGAAGCTAACGCAGAATTGCTCTCTATAAAGTCAGTGTATCCTGTTCTTGAATGGGCCCTTCAAGATGTAGCCAAAATAATTTTAAAAAGATAACTAATGTAACAGGACTTATAGTTCACGTAAAGGCACAGATGCACGGTTATAGGACAAACTTGAAAGAAAAGAATCACTGTGAATTTTTCTACACTAGATTATTAAAAGCCATATATTAATATTAAAGAGCAAGAAAGAAACAACAAACTACTCCATCTCTGTTTGAAACAAAAACTGCACATATTTATACTAATATGCAGAATCAATCACAGGGAAGAGGTAGCTTTTATGAATGGACTACAAAATATATGCAGTTTTAGTAGTGAACGTTTTGTATTGGCATGAGAAATATGATGTAATTGTTTTCTCATATGCTCAGAAACAAGATGCAATTGACTTGACTGAAAAAAAAAAAAAAAAAAAAGTACGGTAAGTTAGATCAACAACATTAAAACTCTTTCAGAGGAGCAGCAGTAGCTTTCAGTTGCTCCCTGACCAGACAACACCTTACTTGTTATTTTGGCGTTATTATAAGGCTGCCAAGGACAAATGGTTCAGGAAGGTCATTCCTTCTTTAAGGCCAGTTCAGTTTTCTCCTGTACTGAACCAGTGGGTTTTATTTTATAATGAAAAGGAATCCTGCAAAACTACTTAAAAGCAGTTCCTAGCATGTGCTTCAGTCTAGACTGTCTTGTCTATGCAGTTGCTAGACCACGTTGGGTAACAGCCTTTTCAGAGACTCATAGAGTTGTATGTCAACAGGGACCATTACATCATCTAATCTGACCTGCAAGATATTATAAGACCTCATTCAGTTATTTCTGTTTTAAGCCCAGTAATCTATTTGGCTAAAACTTTTCTTCCAGAAAGTGATCCAGGCTTGAGGTGAATATATTAAGAAAGAAGACTATGCCTTCTCAAATGGTTTGTTGCAATGTTTGATCAGAAATGGTGACTTATTTCCTTTTTGCAGATGTCCAAATGTTAAACTGTTTATCATTATTATATCAGTGACTCCAATATTCATTATTTTCCCTTTAAGATAAACCTTCATTCTTTTGAGAAATCACCTCTTCCTACATTCTTTAATCAAGTCTTTTTAAGGCTCTCACTGTAGATCGTGTTCTGTGACACTAAAATTATTTTTCTATATCTTTTTAATTGTTTCAAAAGTCTTTGAGAAAGAAGGTAGCAGAGGAACAAAGTTCTAGCACTCTGCTACTCCTTTGCATGTATTCATTCAAAGATCACATAGTCCTCCCACTATAGTAGTATTCTGGCATTTCATACCAGGTTGAGAAGACACTGTAATCAGACCCTTTTCAGGGTCTGTTTGATAACAACTTGCCTTTTGAGATCCCATGGGTGAATGCCCTGCATGTTAACACCCATTTTGTTGAAAGGACCCAGACTATCAAGCAATCCAGTTTCCAGTGTAATGTCATCTTGTTTTGATCATCACTTAGTCTTCTTCAGTCCTAGGAATAAGTGCTTTCAGCAGATTTTTTTTTCTCAAAGTCACACTTACAAAGTCAATTGTGCTATATTTAAGGCAGATATTTAGAAACACAGGTCTTAGAATAACATTTCCTCACTGACAACTGCCTTTGTAATATATTGCAGTTAGTCTCGACCTATCTTATACATTCTTGGGTAATATTGTAGGGTA